GGAGTTGGGGTTTAATGCCTGCTCTAAGGAGCATTTCAGTTATATCTCGGCATGTATCGGCTAATGTTAGAGGACAGCCTACATGATGCAAGTCTTTCAGCAGTGTAGTGAAACACACAGCATTGCTAACAAATCAAGAATCATGATCAGTGCAGATCCATTAAGATCCGGACTATAATTGATCTTCAGGAACCCATGCTTGTCATAAGAGGCAACTAACGGGATTGGGTGCTCAGGTTCGCTGACTTGGTTGACACATGTCTTCGTATCCCATCGATGGGATCGATGTTCATGCTGTTTAAATCACTGTATTGTCTGGTCCAGACTTGACTATTTACAGACCGCCACTATATATTGCTGAGTATTCCCTCACTCACTCATAATCAGAGCACAAATGACATGCCTCTTGAGTACAACCATCTTGAACTGCAGCACCTTGGACAATTGTGCCTCCAGTATTAAAGTATAAGGAGTATTTTGATATATATAGGAGAATATAGGTTTGACAATAGCACAAACTAGAAGCAAAAATATAGATGACGATATCACAAGACAATATCACGGCGGGGTATACGAGAAATGGGCTTCACACATTATACCCACATGGGGACTTGACCCTGGTCTTCGACTTTAACCACTACACTACCCCACCGCCCCACTTTAAACTGAGGTAAACTCACTATGCCAAGATGGTCCAGATTATGCCGGTTACGATTCACTCACATACTCGGTGAATTGTACCATATCTTTTCATGAATTCAATTCATTATATGCGATCACTAGAACTGAATATTTTTGTTTTTAAAGGATTTTTTTACCTGAATTCAGGTGTTATTTATTGAAACAAAATATGGAAAATGGAATATATCTTAGCCAGACAGAATAATAGCCAACATTCTTACATATTTCATTTGACAGCAATCCAGCCACTGGTCACTGTCATGATGTCAACACTGTCAACATGGTCAAAACATTGATTGCCTACCCCAATGAATATTTGTTATGGTTTCACTGAATTCACGTCAACTTCTGACTTGTTATAGTATTTGTTATCCAATATTTGTATTTGTTACCCAATATTCGTGATATGTATTGTATTCACCACCTTTGTCCAGATGGTGTAAAAACTGCTAGTGATCACAGCATGATCATATGAATGTCTTCAGTCAATCTAATCATGTATTGGAGGAGCTGTAAAAGTTTATCAGCATTTGGGAGAGGTGTAAAATCTTCACATCAAAATTATGCTCTTTAACTTTAATTAGTGTGTGAGGTGTGTCTTCAAATTTCAGATGAATCTACAGACTCCATCCTTGTCTTCAATGCATTGTCTGATGCACTACTTTCATTGCCATACCAGTGTGTGACCAAGATGGCGCCTGAATACCTTGCCAACACGATCTCTCAGATCACGCAATCACCACTTATTTTGTGTCATCATGAAATTCAAAATCATATGGAGCAATATGCTTCAGTTTCAAATTTCCATCTGCGTGGATTGCTCTGCCACAAACACTACCAACAATCTCCAGTACATTGAATCATCTATTCTGTTGATATGACATTCATGTGGATCTATCCCAATATAAGTTGACACTGGATCAAAATGTCCTCCTGGGATTTCCATATCAGTTTCATTATGCAAATGAATAAGAATGACTGCCTGGATTGGCTTCAGCTATATCAATAATCGGAGATCATACAACAATGGTCAAAGTTATTTATCTATCTGAACAAGATATACATAAGACGGGCGTGTCCACCTCGTCTGTTTCATATTTAGATCTAAAGTTCATACACATTCTGAGCATAAAAACTATGCACAAGACTGTATGACAAGAGCAAGAGGTAACACATGTTAGATTTGGGACTTTCCAGTAGTTAAGGCTTTGTATTAAACAATATTCCAGCAGCTCCTGCCTTTGAAGATTCCATTTCACAACTTTTGAGGTGTAATCAAGCATGTTCTTTCTTGGAAGATTTTAGAGAACTCTTGCTACAAAATTGTTTCATTAAGTGAGAGAGTGAGTTTAGTTTTACGCCACACTCAGCAATATTCCAGCTATATGACGGTGGTCTGTAAACAATCGAGTCTGGACCAGACAATTCAGTGATCAACAGCATGAACATCGATCTACTCAGTTGGGGTACGTGTTTTATTAAGATTACAATATGTCGTGATAATATTAAAGTTTGATGTTTGATGCCATTCCCTATTGACTTGTACCATGTGTTCCCACGTTTATTCTATGAACATTTGTTTTTGTATGTGCTTGTATTGAGTGCCACCAGTGGGGCTGGATACACACACTTTTGCAAAAACCTGCTGTAATCACCATTGCATGCTAATGTTTATGCACATATCAGACAATTAATTCTGCTTGATTGCATTCTTTTGTAATTGTGTGACATCTGGTGACAAAGATCAATTATCTTGTAATAAGTATTATGTGACTGTGTGCTGAGGAGATCGATAATATTGCACAAAGTATTGTGTGACATCGATAGTCCTGTACAAAGTATTATGTGACTGTGTGATACCTTGCAAATGAGGGAGATCATTAGTCCTGTACACAGTATTATGTGAATGTGTGATACCCCTGCTAATGAGGGAGGTCGACAGTCCTGTACAAAGTATTATGTGAATGTGTGATACCCAAGCTGATGGAGGTCGACAGTCCTGTACAATGTATTATGTGAATGTGTGATACCCCAGTTGATGGAGGTCGACAGTCCTGTACAATGTATTATGTGAATGTGTGATACCCTGCTAATGAGGGAGGTCGACAGTCCTGTACAAATTATTATATGAATGTTTGATACCCCAGCTAATGAGGGAGATCGACAGTCCTGTATAAAGTATTATGTGAATGTGTGACACCCTGCTGAGAGAGATCGATAGTCCTGTACAAAGTATTATGTGACATTTTCAGACCAGTAAGCCATTAATGCTGAGTACAGGCAAGGTGACAACAAGTGCCATCTTTTAATACCTTTCCATATGATGCAGCCAGGAATCTTCTGTTTTGGTTTGTTTTTTGTTTAATGGCACACTCAGCAATATTCCAGCTATTTGGCAGCGGTCTGTAAATAATTGAGTCTGGACCAGATAATCAAGTGATCAAAAGCATGGGCGTCAATCTACACAATTGGGACAATTGAGAACCACGTCAGCAAGCCTGACCATCCGATCCTGTTAGTCGCCTCTTATGACAAAGCATCATGGTTACTGAAGACCAATTCTATCCCAGATCTTCACAGGTCAGGGATCTTCTGACCTTGCGATCTCTACCTGACAAAGGTGAGCTGTTGACGAGGGACATTGAAAATCTCATAAAAAGTATTATGTGAATTCTGCTGACATGGGACACTACATTTACATGTCAAAAGACTCCATTGTGTGTTATGGGGTAATTTGATGATAGTGCTAAGATCCATTAAAGAGTAACCTGTTCAGGCTTGCACAACTTACAAACAAAATTTAGTGTTCACAAACACAATAGATTCACTATGACATGCAATTGGTTTAATTCCTACATGATCACAATTCTCACACTGGAAACTGAAATTTGAAACATTGGAATTAAGAATAACAACATACTTGATATGTTTTGGTAAAATCACACATTTTATTCCCTTATTGCACTTTTTCAAAGGGTCATTCATCCATACATACTCAGTATGAACATACTGAAAGAAAAACATTCCAAACAAAAGTTGACTGTAAATGTCATTCAGCTGTCACTCAAAGGATCACCATGAACCTCAAGTCCCCATCACCTGCATCATGTCAAAATCAGTCAAGCACTGTAGTACAGTGTTTTTAAGAAGTGATTTATTCTGTTTGTATCTATGGAGGTATAAATTTCAATCTGGTGTGTGCAAACTGTGTTTAGCAACATGGTGCATCAAAAATCAAACCAGCCATTTCGGCCATGTGATTCCTGTTTGTACCGTTGTAATGTGTTCTAGTGAGTGAGTGAGTTCGGCAATATTCGAGTAAATAATCGAGCCTGGACCAGACAATCCAGTGATCAGTTAGAATCCATCCCCATACCGGTTGTACAAGGAGTGTGTTTAGTTTCCCGACGCTTTTAGCAATTCAGAGCAGGGACACCAGACTGACTGACTTTTAGCAACATTCCAGCAATATCAGCATCCGAGCAGGGACACCAGAAATGGGCTTAACACATTGTACCCATGTGAGGAATTGAACCCCAAGACTATGACGGGATGAGTGAACCCTTTAATCACTAGGCTACCCCACCGCCCTGATTGAATGGTAAGGCTCTGTGACTTGGTTACCCTAGTATGGAGCGTTGTTCATAATATCGACCACTTTCAGTGAAATACAAGGTCACCCATACAAGATCTTAACATTAGTTATAACCTTATCAATAAAAATGGGTGAACTATTAATTTGAAACAGCGGATTTAAGTAACTTTTGCTGCAAATTTGTACAATATGAGAAGAAACAACAAACAGATGATTCAAGTGTAGTCTCAGGACTATGAAAACACACAATCAGTACTTCAAAAACATCAAACTACAACATACATTCCCCTTGGACCATTAAGTGACATCATCTAAACTGATCTACCGTCCGGAGGTGTTAATGAGTGAGTGAGTGAGTGAGAGTATGATTTTACGCCGCTTTTAGCAATATTCCAGCAATATCACGGCGGGAGACACCAGAAATGGGCTTCACACATTGTACCCATGTGGGGAATCGAACCCGGGTCTTGGGCATGATGAGCGAACACTTTAACCACTTGGCTACCCCACCGGCCCTGTTAATAAGTGAGTTTTGTCAGTTTGTAACAGGTCGTTGCTACTGTGGTGAAAACCATGAGTATGTGTATGGTGCTGACAAACCAACTAATATTTTCATGGCAAATTGTGCTCCATCTCACAGTCATTGTTTCTGGCATGACTAAGGGTTGCAACTCAACACCATGAAGTGGCACAAGACAACTAAACCAATCACACCCATTTCAAATTAACAAGATTTCACTTTATATACTCAACAAAAAATGTTAAGGATCATAAACACTTAGGGAATATTTTTTGTAGTGAACACTGTGCACACAACTTCATAAAATCACCATAAAAACTATTCATGTTACCTAACTTTTTCATGTCGAATCATAAAACCTGAACAAAGACGAACACCGTGAGTGAGTGAGTTTAGTTTTACACCATTTTTAGCAATATTCCAGCAATATCATGGCGGTGAACACCACGACAAATTTCACACAATGTTGAACCAAGACCATCACAATAACACAATACTAAAAGAAAGCTAACTCTATGTTTACTAAAGACCAGCACAATACTAAAACACATTGATTAAGACTAGCACAATGCTTGAGGCTTATGGAGATAACTGCCTGCCATATGTTCCTTCTTTAGCAGTACCTTCTCGTCATTATTATGACGTGCTTGGATCCGTCTGAGTAAGTCTGGCCACAACATCTTACAGTCATGTCTGACCATGCTAAACCCTGGACTCCACCTGCCGTCTCGATCTTCAAGAGATTCAGCCCTCCATAGTCACAGAAGGAACTAACTCGTTTCTGTACTTGGTCAAATGCAGCCACTTCATCAAAGAAATCATTACTCTGCTTGTCAACAGTTTGCCAGAATGTTCTGTTAAAATAATCATAAAGCTTGTAATCCACAGGACTCCACTTCTTGTAAATGGCCACCAACTCTGGATCAGGTTGTGTGTCCTTGTAAGTATAGTTACCAGTGTTGACAGACTTGTAGAGAATATCCTGAAATGTCCAGCACATTTTACGCTTCAACAGTACAAGAGATTCATGAAAATATTCGACAAGCATCATGAAGTAGAACTCCTTCCCCAGGTCCTGTATGTACTGGTCAACTGCGGCAGGGTCCCCCGATATGTCGTCCCTACCTGGAGGAAAACCCAACGGCATCCCATGACAATGAGACATCAGGTTCTTCGTCATTGAAAACCCATCAGGGATACAAAATCGGGGTTGATGCTTTTCGGGACTTTTATAAATAACTTCATATTTTTCTAAATTATGTAAATATTCGCTTAATCCATTTTTACTTGTAATGTCTAAAATCTGCAGCACCTTGAAATAGTTTATCGTTGACTTGACATGACTGAATGGTTCCCGTATGATTGAGATATACAGAGTATCTTTCGGCATGAGTTTCTGCATGATAGTCTTATTGTAGATTGAATGTTCCATGATGATGTTATAACCACGACTAGATGGACGAATGTCATACTCTGTCATCAAATATGGCCAGCCGAGATACAACTTATTACTCACTGGTGTCACAAAAGAAAGATTTCGGGTGTAACCAAACCGACGAATAATCGTTGCCATGGTTTCCGTCGCACATTTCATGCACTTGATGAACACAAAGTTGTGTTTTTCTTTGCAAGTTTTTGAATCCAAATGTAAATCTTTGACACTGTCCACTTGAGCTCTGCCATTATTTTCATTCCCAATTTGTGCAGCAGCTTTGGGTTTTCCATCTCCATGTTCACCATGGCCATCATTGTTGGCGACTTTGTAATCTTCAACTGGGAGAGCTACCTTTTCTTCTGTTTTCAAATTTAATGTCACAAATGTAAGTGTCAAGTATAAAGTCACAGCAATGCCACTCACAAAAAGCAGACGGGATCTGCACCACTTACGCCATAACCTCATGTTGCTGATCTCAAGCTGGTGTTATCAAGGATGATATAATTTCAATTATTCCTGTGTACACAGCTTGGTCCTGCCTTATCACAGAGGTGTAATATAATGCTCTTATTCATATGGTTTTTTATCTACAATGATAACAACCACCAGTGCAGGCAGACACAGGATTGAATGAATATCCCAAAGTTCTCTTCTTTCAAAAAGGTAAAAAAGGCTAGTTAAACAGTCCAGTATGGAATTCAAGAGATTGTGAGATTCCAACAGTTTCTTGACTACTTGTAAATTCTCATATGGAAAATATTATTGTTTAGCAATAAGATAATTCACAACCCAGCTTTAGGATTAATATTTTCACATATTTTCATTCAAAACAGACTGTGAAGCTCCTGAAGCTCTGACGACAGAATTCCCAACAGAAACATGTTGCAGTTAAGCCTAGATGATCAAGATCTCATGATACTTTTGTCAATAGCACAGGATCAATTTGCTATTCCATTCATGATGAGAGCTTCATGAATAGTTTCAACATTTGACATCTTAACCAGTAATACCACAACTGCAGATGTATTTCTAGACAACACAAACATCAGCCACTGCCTGTCCTCAGCCTTCTGTCACTCAACATGCTCCTCATACTACTAACATGATCCCAACACTCGATGAGGAAGTAAGTCAATGTTTCAAGCAGGAAAACAGCACAACATTAACCCTTGATCTGCAAGATCCCTGATACAAAGTCTGACGATCACTTGTGTCTTCACACCATAGAGTGTTAAACACTGAAATGACCGTGACACACTGCCTGTGATAAAGGACCTTCAAGCACACCTCTGTTCAACTCCAACACGGGCCACTGTGTGTTGATCACTGGACACCTACACACTGTCACATAGGTATAGAGACAGCCATGTCTGGAACTATTGTCATGCAGGACTTTGATTACCCAAAGCAGCCATGGCAACAGATGTCACTGTGTTGATCAAAATTTATTGATCTGGAATTAACCAAGCAATGAATTTCCTCAAGGATGGTGTCGTGTCGTTGGTCTCACATGACTAGTCAGTTTCCCTCAAGCTCAGTTTCCCTGCAATGATTTACCTGTAGCTTGTACCTGTAGACAGGTGTTTCATATGCATACCTGAATTATCTCAGGGCACACTTCAGGGTTAGGCTTAATTTACAGCACCCGTAAAGCTTCGACACAGGTAATTGCACACCACCCAACGACTAGACTCTCTACAAGTCACTTGCATAAATATACCACTGATAAACAAACACTACATCATAGTGAAGCCTTAATTTCCAGACAAAAACCTCCAGCAGATTTTCAGATGTACATTTGATATTTTTCCAATCATGAGTCCACACACATGAATTTTGAGTTACAAAATTTAGATGACATACAGCAAGTCTAGCATCCCCCATGAGCAAGCTGAATCTTGTGAGCTATTTATACTCCTCGAGGATAAGTTGAGATTGACACAGCTACCTACTGAAAGGAAGACAAATAAAGGCACTTCTCCCCTTTTGTTGTGGGATTGACAAATGCACCAGTGCATATGATCATACACTGGCTGAGAATTACACATATTTGAAATTTTAAAATTCAAATTATAATTCTGTTTGGATGAATATTTGGCCAATAATTGCATAATTTTATATTTTGTAAACACTACAGATATACTGAGGGAAACAAATAAGGGAACACCACTTCATGGCATTGTGCCTTTATTTATTCTCAGATTTCTTTCCACAGCACTATTCAAAGCTAGTGATGAAAACTGGAAAATATTAAATGACTTGAATTTTCCTGCGTTGTTTTGTTTCTCTCAGTATGTTTGTTAAGTCTGATTATTGCACAAAGGAAGTTTGTTTAGACACAGTTTTACTTATTGAACTTAAATTTGACTAAACTGAAATTGCAAATTACATACTTCATTATCACTGTTCAGCAAAATTTCAGAACAGGTGACAACTGAATGTTATATTGTTTTCTTCCTAAGCATCGATTCAACTCTGTAATGTACACATCTTTAAAACATGCAGATGATTTGAATGAAAATATAGCAATATCTCATTTTTCCATGTTTAATCTCTCAGCATAGACAGACATTTATTCCCAGAAATTAAACAATATCACCTAAAATATATATTTACAAAAACAATAATAAATTAGACAGACAGACAGACTGTCTGTCATAATAAATTAAAATCCAATAGAAGTGAAAAACAATTCTTAATTTCAGGCAAAGAGTCGAGGCAATATAGACTTCCCCTATCATTTGACTTGAAACAATTCCAGATATTAGTGTCACTTATTATATTTTCTGGGTACAAGAGACAGACTTCTATGAGCTAAATAGGATCCATTGACCAGGGCATCATGACTTAATATTTGAATGTTGTAGGGTGGACATGATTGTACAAGTTGGCCGGTTTGATGTCCGTGTCTGTGCCTGATATTGAATGCATGTGTACATGGGATTGTAAAGGTTGGCGTGTATGACACATCAGGAAGGTTTTCACTGGTTTCACCTGCTGAATATCTGTTAAAACACCAAGGTATTCTTGTATGATGGGTATGATCACTAGTCCAACACTGAATGTCATTTTCTTCATTGCAATGTTTACAAAGTTAAATTGAAATATCTGTCTAAATTGTAGTTCCATTTATTTATATATCTTTATTAATTCATTATTTTATTTTGAAAGTGTTGGGGGTTGCACAATCACCTCTAAATCCTACCACCCAAGCTAAAAGAAGGGTCATGTGAAGACGGTAACCAATTCATGGGTACAACAACGTCTCACGTGTATTTTCCAGCTTCCAGGTTCTACTGGCAATGTCAACCAATGTTTGATACCTAGCTGGCACTACTGTTGTTTCATATGAAAACTTTGCATTTTGTTTGAAATATCTGTTCCAAGGACTATTTTTCAAAAATGAACTCTTTTTATATCTGATTTCCTATCTTACCTTTATTTGACTATTGCAGTCATCTCTGGGACAATTGTACAAACGAACAGTCCTTGTCACTATAAAACCTTCACTTAGATGCATTACGCACAATATGTGGTGCAGTTAGAGGTACGAGCCATGCAAAACTATATCATGAGACAAACCTGACATCCTTAGCCAAGCGGAGAGAAATTTCTAAATTAACGTTATTTTACAAAATGGTAAACCACATGGTGCCTGACTATGTTTGTGATCTTGCTCAAGGGAATGTTTCTGATAACAGTAACTCCAATCTTAGGAATAATGAAAATTATCGGACTATAAGATGCAAATCTACCAATTATGCCAAATCGTTTTTGCCCGACACAATTAAACTGTGGAACGACCTACCTACAAATGCGACAAACGCTTCCTCTGTTGGACAGTTTAAGAATTTAATCACACCACAAGTTAATACCAACACAATGTTCGATCTAAATTTTGGTAGTTGATTCTGTCAAATGATACATTGCCTCCTTAGATTGGGATGTAGTGACTTAAACAGTGATAAGTATAATCGTTTCATTTCTGATAATGCTTCTTGTTCCTGCTCACAAGATTGTGAGGATATATTCCACTATTTTTTTATCTGTCCTAAATATGATAGCATTCGATACGTATCTTATTTCTATGAGAAAGGTTTCTCCCTGCGAGATGTGCTAAATGGTCGTAACTCAGTATCACATCTGACGAATATGGATATTCTAAACGATTTGATTCATAAAATGCTTTATAGTTTCTATTATTTTCCTATTTGTATCAACTGGCCACGAAACAAAACCAAGATAAATTGTTGATATCCAAGATTGTTATTATTCAGAGACAGCATGTTATTACTATCATAAAAATGCACAACATTACGCATAAATGTGAACCTTCATATGTATTATGGAGCGGCATTAATATATGCCATTTAGGCTTGTTTGCCAATCCTTTTCTTTCTTCTTGAATGGAATAAAATATGTTTAAACCATTTTACACTTGTCACAGGACAAACTTTTCAACAAGGACGTAACTACATATGCATCCTACCGGAAGCTGTTATTTCAAGGTTGAAAGAGGTGTTCAATTATCTCATTACTGTAATCTGATTGAATGATTATACGCATGTGTATCGATACCGTAACTGACATACTATCCAGCTTTTATTGACGATGGATCAATAGAGACTGAGTTCATTGAAACAAGTGATAATTACACCGGATTTGATAATTACAGAGATCAAATACAAATGTTTTACACAATGCACATGTAAATTGCATACAAAACTGACAATTCAAATCAACATGAAACTTTCAACAGCTTGAACAAAAAATGCTTGAAATACCTTTGTATGGTTAACATGTAATAACTTATGACATTACTCCTGTTTAGGTGTGAGATTTTTTTGAATTACCAACTTACTGTGTTTTGTAACAAACGTAGTAAAAGATTTCATTGTTGTAATAACACTGACATGTTATATTCCACGCAAAAGAGCGTGTTATCACTTTATATTCGCTTAGGTAACATTATCAACTTTAGATTTTGGAAAATAAATAGTTACAATTCAGTAAGCTTCAAATTAGTAAGTTAAATTATGTCTAATCTATTCGAGATTGGATGTATAATTATTTGTGTTTATACATTATGTTTCATTATATGAAACATGACAATGTAATAATACCTAAAAAAATAAATTCAAACTATTCTATTGTGTTTGAATTCTTTGTATGTCCTTGAAATTTCATATATTGTTTCTTATTTATTAGGAAGTTGAAGAAAATATAATCTTCAGTAACCTCTAAACCATTACATTTAATTAAATCAATGTGCATACGAAGTATTTTAGTATCCATTCCCAATGAAGAGTACCAGACACTTACCTCTGTAAAAACATCATAATCCTCTTTCTCGCTGACATGTGTTCATTTGCCAAATGCTGTTCAAGCCTATGATAATGATTAGCAATTGCTATCAAAACACTTTAAATACTTCTTCTGATTGACACTAAAGGTAGCATCTCTCGCAAGAAAAGCTAATATTTGCTCAGTACTACTAAATTGGTTGAAATAATAGGTACAGTGCGATTTTCAAAAGTAGGACACACATGTGCGTCTCTCGCTGAATAGGAGGTGCTTTCTGTTGACGAATATATGTGGCTCTCGCTGTGAGGAGCTGATTAATTTGCCCCATATATGCGGCTCTCTGCCTTAATGAGTTAAATAAATCTCAGTCTAGATTTCCAAGACAGCTGATAGAATGATAACATCAATATGTGTCAGAGAAGAATCAGAAATATGATAAGTTTGATTATCTCAAATTATCTGACACACCTTTAGCATAACAGTTACTTTGATATATTTATTTCTTTTCAAATAGCATTGAAGTTCCATCTTTTCCTTAAATAACTATCTAACTATAAGGCAGTGTTAAAACAAACTGCAAATGCAAAATAATAATACATGTAAACAATAGCAAAATTAGTTTTTCATAACGTGAGATGTCCCTGATCTGTGGCAAATAATAAAAAATACCACCCTGGAACTGAATGTTGAGGTTTGTGTATTAGTGTCTGTTTGGCATGGCAGTTTGGCATGGCAGTTTGGCATGGCAGTTCAGTGTGGAAGCATGTAACACACTCTGATGAAAGACTGTGTGAGAGTGAATGAGTGACTGGTTTTATACCACTTTTAGTAATATTCCAGCAATATCATGGCGGGGGACACCAGAAATGGGCTTCACATATTGTGACCATGTGGGGAATTGAACCCGGGTCTTCAGCGTGATGAGCGACCGCTCTAACCACTAGGCTACCCCACCACCCTGAAAAACATGAGAGTAGGTATGCTCCTGACAAACCTAGAAAACCTGTATCTGGGCAAACCGTATATTGAACACACTCACAGGTTTCTAGTCTGACATAGGTATTAAATTCTGCACAGCAAATCATGAGGCCTTAGATAACCGAGCTACACATCTCACCTCCAAGATAAGCAAGACAGCAAGTACAACTGTATCTAATGATATACAGTAGTGGTGTAACGATTCATCGATAGTATCGATGTTTGCATCGTCAACTACGCAATATGAGTGCATCGATACAAAACACTTTTAGGCAATATATTAGGATATTTATATCGCGAGGGTCCATGATACATCGATGCATCGCCACAAGAGACGATATATCCCGATACAACTTAAATACTACTTAAAGTTGTAGGGAGTATTGCATTAGGAATAGGAAGGGAGTCTCTTTGAAAGTCTCCTGAATTTTAAAATCAAATTAAACCTTGAAGGAATTTGTTTGTGTCTGCTATCTTTGTTACAGGAACAACGGAGTTGGTGTATAAGTGAAAGAGTGTGAACATTTTTCAAACACTGTGAACTGAAGAATACTTGTCTTCAAGTGTTTGAAATATGCTATAGTTGTTTGATAAATAGCACTATTAGCAATTATGAACGATGTCTTAGCTTTGTTAAGAAAGAGAACATAAAATTTAGAAAGCACACTTAAGAGTTTTTTCAGTGATTCTGAATTCTGATATAAATTACCTTGAATTGTTTGTGAAAGCATTGGTGCAGAAACACAACTTCCCAAGGGAAACTTCAGTTGCAAGCTTATATATATTAGATTAAGGTATACTGAATATGTTTGACTGTACGTTCTTAAGCATTAAATGCTGAAACTTTATTAGCTGAACAGCTTTTTACGTGTGTGGGAATGTAACACAAGTTCTGCTGTATAACAAATAAAGATTCAGTCATTTTATCTATCATGTATATATCGTCTCGCCACTTAGGCAACGCTACACAGCTCTAATATACAGTATATAAAACTAATGTCAAACTACACAAAATGTCAGAGCCATCTCATGTACTACTATCAAATAAAAACATTCTAATCCACCCAAGCACCTGACTATGAAGGACTTTGTCATGTTACAGTTTCATGTCTATTGTGTTGAGATTACTACTCAAAATGTAGTTCAATTTGATTTCAATTGTAAATTTCTATTTGATCTGTATGGCACAGTAAGAATGGTCATGCACTCAACAAAATATCTTCATGTAATCACACTCCTAACTAGGCCCTCAATTGAATAGCTCAAGATAATCACAGTTTTGGTTTGTTGTTTAATGCCACACTCAGCAATATTCCAGCTATATGGCAGCGGTCTGTAAATAATCAAGTTTGGACCAGACAAACCAGTGATCAACAGCACGAGCATCGATCTACACAGTTGGGATACAATGGCATGTCTCCACCAAGACAGCAAGCCTGTTCACCCATCGCATAAGTAGCAGCAGAGGACAAGCATGGGTGGCAGATGACCAATTTTAACCTGGATCTTCACCGGTATATAATCACAGTTCCTACCAATACCTGTCACATATACTTCAAAATTAAAGCACTGACTTGCACCCCTTGTTTGTGCAGAAGAATTGCTTTTATTTAAATTGTTCTCTGTCCAGGATATCACGTGCACAGAAAATCACTCACGGGAGATTAACGGGTAATGTGTACAAAGCTAAACTAAGCCTACGATCAACAAATTATATTGAACCTGTAACAGTGTTCCGGGTATGGCTTTACTGTTTATAGGACAAATAATTAATCAGCCTAACAGGTGTTATCAGCATGGTATTAATGTAACATATGTCAGACTTGTAGCCTGATGGAGATAAACCTTTCATCTTCATTTCTCACGGTTGAAGGTGCAAGATCAATCACTTGTATTTCAATAAGGCACTTACTTCTAAGGGGGTTCACAAAATGTTTGGCCCAAAAATAAATGTCTGTGAAGCAAACAAATACATGGAACAATTTCAAATTACAATAAACAATAAAACTTACTGATTAAGCATGAACAGTAAACCTCTGTGATTGATTGCAGTGCTATAAGTAGTCGACTGTTTTACCCTTGTCTCTCAAGGTTATATTATACACCAACATCAAACACCAAGGCCATCAGGTTGTTGATGGTTAACCTGAAAGTCTGTTGTTTAATGCCGCACTCAGCAATTGTCCAGCTATATGATGCTGGTTTTATTAAACATTGAATCTGGACCAGACAAACCACTGATTGACATCATGAGCATCTGATCCATAAAGTCCCCTCCTACAAGATTGCTGGGGATCGCATTTCACCCTGTATCCCCAGAGGCTAAAAATGAAATTTTAAGTCCAGACATCTTCTGGTAGTTTAATGTTTTAATAACATGGCATTTGACATGGTTTTAAAAATACAACACCCACAATTATAGGTTCATTTGTTGAAATGTCCAGGTATTGAATAATCTCAAGTCTGAAAACAACATGTTTATCTATTTCTGACCACTTGTGATCCCACATTTCCCACACAGACTGACTGACTGAGTTTGGTTTTACGCCGCTTTTAGCAATATTCCAGCAATATCACGGCGGGGGACACCAGAAATGGGCTTCACTCATTGTACCCATGTGGGGATTCGAACCCGAGTCTTCGGCGTGATGAGCCAACGCTTTAACCACTAGACTACCCCACCGCCCCTTCCCACACAGAAAATGGGGTAGAACCCATTGGTCAAATCTATCTCCCCTACACCTCATTGCAGGTTAGTAGTTCATGTAAAATAGATGTTAGGAGTTAGCCATGACAGATTACTTAGTCATATGAAATTTTCAGGTATTCTTTAACTTTTTTCAGTAGTATATATTGTGTTCTATTACATAAGAGCCCTCCAAGGGATGAGTGAGTGGGTGAATATAGTTTGAGGCCAGTCAGTGAAGGTCCAGCTGTTTGCTGTTATAAGCATCCCTGGCTCTGAGAAAACTTACAAAAGGGACACTCATTAAAAACACAAACAACTGTTTTCAGAGATCCAGTATTACTGAAAACACTTAGATGGAATTAAAACAGTTTCATTCAGTGAGTGAGTGAGTGAGTTGGGTTTTATGCAGCTTTTAGCAATATTCCAGTGAGTGAGTGAGTTGGGTTTTATGCAGCTTTTAGCAATATTCCAGCAAAATAACAGTAGGGGAAACCAGAAATGGGCTTCACACATTGCATCCATGTGGGGAATGGCCAACTGGCTCATCCTCATCTTGTTAGCTATCACTGCCTCTCTGATTATCACTGTAATCAGTTGTACCAAAGACTTCCTGCTGGACTGTTGCTCAGCTGGTGGTACAAGTTGTCAACACACAACGTGTTCCCTCACTGAATACTGCCTCCATGATTTATTTGTTACACCTGTTTCACACACATTGACATGCATGCATTGTCAACATCTGTCAATATTTGTGGGAATTATTATCTGGATCCCAGTCACTCAACAGCTTTATCATTGTAATGTGACATCTGACCAACCCAAAATTTACCATAAGCCTTAATGTAACATATGTTATATTTGGGATTACACTTTAGGTAATCAACAGGTTGCACTGATATCTCCAACTAAATATCTATGTTTCAATCTCACCTCATTCTCTGATCCAGGGGAGATAATCCGTCCTCCTTGTTTGAAGCCGAGACGGCCAGTGGAGGCTGCAGTTTCAATGTCCAGCAATTCTTTATCCTCAATTGTTAGTTGATCCAACTGACCACCGTTGAAGACATCCGGCTTGGAACGACGTCCGTATGTCTTGCCACCCAGCACATACTTAGGTGTGACACTGACATCTGACAATAAAAATACTTTACTTTATGGACATTTCACAGATTTCACATAATAGTAGGATCCCATATTTATATTTTCAGGGCATCATATTATTAGTTACACTGTGTTTTGAAAAGGTGTACAGGTACTATAGTGTATACCCAGAGTAATTAATACATATAGTGGGCAGTTTGACTGTATAAACAAGCAAGTGTTTACATTTTGTTGATTTGCGGTATTGACTCGAGATTATTCAGAAACGGAAGTGTCAATCAGTTTCTTGTTAATTAGTGAGTGGCACGTGTCACTTACATAGAGGTAAGCGAATCGTTTGATGGTGTATCGTTCGAAAGCTCTGAACATCAACAATATCACTGTACTCTTGCCGAGAGTATTTTCACATTTGTAAGAAGCGACATTTTATTGGATAAAGATTGGTTTCTAACGACGCTTTTTTTCACTACACTCTGCTTATAAGGGTCGTGATTGGTCAAAATCAGACACGTGACCTAAGCAGCCAATCATATTATGGAAATGGATACCGTCCTAAAGAAAGCGAACAGTTTTAGATTAAGACAAAAGTTTTGGGTAAATAATGCTATTCTGAACATATTAAGAGAAGACATACGCTACCTATCGTAAATCATGGAACGTATTAATGTAAATTCCATATTTCCTGAGGTGCAGCCGATGGAATCACAGAATTTACAAGAGTCTTACAGTCTCTTACACCCTTTCAAAACATCATGTGATGAATATATTACCCTAAGATCCCTTTATTTAGCTTATCTATAAAAACCAGCATTCAGTCTTCAACAGAATGAGACGCAAAACATTTCGCCCATGATTTTCCCTGAATGGTCATAAAGGGAGATAACTCATGATCACTTAGTTTATGATAAAAATGATTGAATTTGAGGTTTTGTTAATCGAAAAGTAAAACACAAATGCATTTCAATTTTTTTTCTATTTTTATTGACACAAACAAATAAGAAATTATAGCAACAAGTTTATTATTCTGTTTATACTCATAACTTTATATGCCAACTCTAAACTTTCGAAGCAATCAGCTTTTTGGCAACCACATTCCATCTAAGGTCAAGGTCATTCGTACAACCAGTGTAGTGTGTCACATGGCAGATTTGACAAGGTGTACGGTTTGTACACTGTGGCAAATCCGCCTACATGGTTTCACATGCTTTGGCTATTAACCAATCAAAATTCGACAAATTTATCTTAAGGGTAATAAATTTATGTTCATTAAGGCTTGCAGATAAACCACTTTACCAACAAGGAAATCAATTTTTAGTGAGTGAGTGAGTTTAGTTTTATGCCGCAATATTCAAGCTATATGGCGGCAGTCTGGACCAGACAATCCAGTGATCAACGGCATGAGCATTGATCTGCACAATTGGGAACCGATGACATGTGTCAACCAAGTCAGCGAGCCTGACCACCCCATCCCATTAGTCGCCTCTTAAGACAAAGATGCATTACTGGGGATCAATATTCTAACCCGGACCTTCACGGGTCAAATTATTAACATACATGCAACATTTGAAAATGGTATAAACAAATGTTACAACGCCTCTTGGGTTCTCCAAAATTCATCACCATATATTTTGTTTGTTTGTTGCCTCACTCAGCAATATTCCAGCTATATGACGGCGGTCTGTAAATAATCAAGTCCGGTCCAGGCAATCCAGTGATCAACAGCATGAGCATCAATCTATGCAAATGCCATGAATAATGCATAAAATATGTGCTTTGTCTCAGCAGCTGTAAATTAGATATATCTTGCTACTGTGAGTTTATGCAACATGTTACACATTGAGGGTAGCACACAAACAGATGCAAATTAGAAATAACTGGAAAAAGTATGGTGAGAAGAATTATATTTGCTTAAAGTCTCAAAAAGCTTTAAAAATAAACTGGAAACACAATGTAATCACAAAATAAAACCATAATTAACCAATTTACTTGATGACTAATGAGCAAATACTCAAATAATATCTGAAGCCCTATAGCAGATCAGTCAAAGAAGAAGTCTCACCGTTTTTTTTGTCTTCGTCGATGTTCAGCGGTGCCACATCCTGCAGAATACCCACAAAAGCTTCCTTGAAGTCATCAAACTGCACCTGTAAATATTCAGGTTTTCTTTCACTAACAATACATCAAAAACAATTATTGGCTTTTACATAATACAGATTTACTTTCTTAGTAGCTCATTTTGAAATGACTGCAAGTGAGAGTAACTATCATCTGGTCACTGTGCCTTCAGGGGTGGTGAGGTAGCCTTGTGGCAAAGGCGTTCGCTCATCAAGCCGAAGACGTGGGTTCAATATTCCCACATGGGTACAATGTATGAAGCTCATTTCTGGTGTCCCCTGCCGTGATATTGCTGGAATATTGCTAAAAGCAGCGTTAAAATAAACTCACTCACTGAGCCCTCATCTTACTATATAAAACAATTTCTCCAGCAATAATGGAAACTCAAACGCTAGTTTTTGACAAATATGTAATTTTTAGAGTAAAATTGATATTTTATACTTATCCTGACTCATGCTTATTGCTTGTCTTCTTCTTCTTGCGAACATAGTGGAACACGTGTATCTCCCAATTGAAGTTCCCTTCAATAAAGAAATCACTAATTAGTACTCACCAAGAGTTACCTCCCTTGCCCAAGCGCGGGAACGAGGGCTCCACCTCAACCCATGTGCTTCACTCTCTCCTCATATACTGAGCCCAACACTTGAATTTCCAGGGAAATCCAAAGTGTTATGTGGGGAGGATGGGAGGGCTTACCTCATGAGTCAGGATAAGTATAAAATATCAATTTTACTCTAAAAATTACATATTTTTTCCTTATCCTGACTCATGCTGTGCTTGTAGAATCCATTGACGGAGAGGAGGTGGGAATATATAATACTTTGGATTTTAATAATTAGTGATTTGAACTGTGAAGATTGTAATAACCCTATGGGAACTTCATAAAGGCACTGAACTGATGAATTCCTGCTGCTAACTTATCAGCTGCCATATAAAGGTTATTACAATTTACTTATTATGATAAAAGTATATATAACATTAATACAATGCTTAAGACTAATAGACTTAAGCTTGTTAATATGATAGCATAAACTCCTTAGAGTTTGTTAGCTAAAATACTTTTATGATATAAACATAGTACTGAGCTTAAGATATGATTAAACTTAAGCTAAATATATAATAGCAAAAACTCCTTAGAGTTTATTAGCTAATATACTTTATGATATGAGTATAGTACTGTGCTTAAGATATAATTAACTTAAGATACCTAAATAGCCAAAACAACTCCGTAGAGTTTGTTAGCTAATACATTTTATAATGTAACCATAATGCTTAAGATATGATGAAACTTAAGCTAAATATATAATAGCAAAAAACTCCGAAGAGTTTGTTAACTAATACATGTTATAATATAACCATGATGCTTAAGATATGATGAAACTTAAGCTAAATATATAATAGCAAAAAACTCTTGAGAGTTTGTTAGCTAATATACTTATATGATATAAACATAGTACTGAGCTTAAGATATGAATAAACTTAAGCTACATATATAATAGCAAAAAACTCCGTAGAGTTTGTTAGCTAATACATGTTATAATGTAACCATAATGCTTAAGATATGATGAAACTTAAGCTAAATATATAATAGCAAAAAACTCTTGAGAGTTTGTTAGCTAATATACTTATATGATATAAACATAGTAATGAGCTTAAGATATGAATAAACTTAAGCTACATAAATAATAGCAACAACTCTGTAGAGTTTGTTAGCTAATACATTATAATGAAACCATAGAACTGAGCTTAAGATATGATAACAAACTCCGTAGAGTTGTTAGCTTATATATAGTATGATATAAAAACCATAGTACTGAGCTTAAGATAATAAATTAAACTTAAGCAAAATATATAGATAGCATGTATCTATTAGTACTGTTATCAGATAAGTATTAAATCTGTAAGATAGACTTATCTTCTCCGTGGAACTGTCAACTGTTGAGTGAGGACCATGGGACCGAAATGGTGGATACCTGAGACGTCCTTGGTGGTGATATCTCTCAGATAGTGGTTGGCAAACACCATATCGGATCTCCAGAAACATCCCTCCTTTATGGTATTCAACGAGCAATTCCCATGTAGAGCGAGAGTTGAGGCTAGCGCTCTAATTTCGTGAGGATTAGAAGCTCTAGGAGGGTCGAGTCCTGCAGCCTTGTAGGCTCGTAGTATGACAGTTCTGATCCAAATAGAGATCGTAGTACGCGAGACTTCCGTCTGCGAAGCTGTAGATATAGGGATAAACAATCTCTTGAATTTCCCTCTGGACTGTTTGGATCGTTGGAGATATATTTTCAGTGCACATACTGGACATAGTGATAGATCCATCGTATCATGCAGTCCAAGTATGGATGAGAGAGCTGGGACATGGAATAATCTGTCTGGTTGACCTGGCAGTTGGTTTTTCGCTATAAAATCCCAGCGAAGTCCCAGATGAAGCGATGTATGAGTATCATCAAAGCGTGTTCTCTCGTAATCCAAAGCGTGAATCTCAGACATCCTGGCGGCAGTAGCTAATGCTAACAGGAATAAGGTTTTGTGGGTCAGTGATTCAAACGACGTAGATAACAATGGCTCATAAGCCTCGCTCGTGAGGTGTTGGAGCACTATATTTAGATCCCAGGCTGGAGCTTGAAACTTCCGTTTCTGATCTTCCAATCGGAACGCTCGTAACAAAGCGAGTAACTCCGGTGTTATTGTCAACTTGACGCCCGTTCTCATAGTTATGACAGAACTTATAGCTGCAAGATAAGTGGACAAGGATGAGCCTTTTAGATTCTTAGTTTGACGTAGATAACATAAGAAATCTGCCACTTGAGGATGTGTAGCATATCTGGCTGAAAATCCTTTCTTAGCAGCGTAATTGACAAAACTGTGCCATTTGTGGCCGAGAGAGAGCGTCTGCTAATACATTCTATGCTCCTGGAATGTGGCAAGCTCTGACGTGTATGTTTAGATTGTCGATTAGATCGAACAGTCTGAAACATCGAGTCAGTAGGTTCTGTGACCTTGTTGAACCTTGTTTGTTCACATAAAATGCCACTGTTGAATTGTCTGTGTGAACCATCAACTGAGCGTTCTGTAGTAGGTTGCTCCAGTGACTTATGGCGTTTATAACTGCTTGCATCTCTAGCAGATTATGTGACATTTGCTCTCTTGATTGCTCCATAGACCTGACCCTGTCCTGCCGGCAAGGTGGGCTTCCCAACCTTGTAGTGACGCGTCTACGTAGAGATGTGTTTTCGATTCCGGCTCTACTAAGGAGACGCCTGACCAAACATTCAATCTCTTGGTCTTGATGATGAAATTCAACTGTAGTCTGAGACGCTGTGGATTTGGATCCACTTGTATCCCGTCGTCGAGGTAAATTCGCTGCGAAGTCCTTGACGATGTAGGTGCACAACCAGGGTTGACTGCCATCGTTGAACTTTATGTAAAAAATCGCCTGACTGCCGTGCCCTCGTCCTTACTTGACAGGGGAGGTCTCAAACCTCAAGAAGGCAGCCCAATCATGAAGGTTCAGATTAGCTGGACTGTAAGGAGGCTTGCTCGTTCACTGATATAATGTTGTCACTTGCAACCTATGTCTTGAACTGTGAACTATGCTCGACCTCTGTGTAGGGCCTTGTCCATCGCGGTCCAATCAGAACAAGGCATTTTGATTCTGTAGAGTACCCGCGCTGTGATGTCACCGGTGTAACAGGAAAAGGAACCTTGTATAATATAGTGCCATCGTTGATATTAGAACAATCGTCGGTCTTCACCGTAGCTTCCCGAAGTTACCCGAGTAACCACGTGTTTCGAGGTTTAATGGTAAACGCGCGAAACCTCCGGCGCGAAATACCTCGCTCTGTAATATTAATGCTGGGTAGGTTATTTTCCTGGCTGTCGTGAAAGTAACTTCAGTCTTGAAGATAATTCCGACTTCCTTATATAAAGGTTCAATAAAACTTGCAAGTTGTCAGCTTGTAGACTGTATACATGAATGTATCGTCATAATTGTAGAATTAAAGCTGAACTTGTTGTACATATTTCTTCTCAGGAAATCGTTGACGATATGAGTTTTATTCGCTGTAACAAGGCTGCTGTTCAATTCCGTAACAGAATTGTCTGCAGATCTGCGTTTGGGCTTCCGAAGATTGGAGCAGGCTGTATCCAGATTAGCTGGTACGCTGCAATCGGGTCAATAGGAGGTAAGGTGAAATAGTCTACATCATCATCCTTCATGACGTAAGTCTGAGTTGAATTCTCGTTCTTCGATGGGAAAACAAGTTGTAACTCATTCACCATCCAGTATCTAATCTCAGCATCTGAGAAAATGATACTTTCCTCCTCTTCTGACGTAGGGTCATATGTCGGAGTCCTAGATCTATAGGAAGATCTATGAGAGGACTGTGATGAACGGACTGACGAGTGGCTAGTGTACGGAGACCTTGGAGTAGACATCCTTCGCGAACGCTAGGGGCTTCGCGAAGCTCTTCTAGGCGAGGTAGAATTGGAGCCACTTAGCCTTCGCGACCTTCGCGAATGTATCGAGTCAGTGTCCGAATCGACATATGAGCGCTTGCTTCGCGAACGACCTCTGTGATGTACAGGGTGTGGGCTCGGCGAAGCGCTCTAGCTCCTTCGCGGAGGCGGCCTGGGACTTCCTATGCGAAGTGCTCGCTCCGGGCTGGGATGCCCTTCGCGGAGGCGCGTTTGTGGGCTCTGGGGCCCTACGCGAAGCCAAGGCTTATGACTTAATATGGGTTGGGCTCTGGGGCCCGTGGCTCTGGGGCCTCTGTAAACCGTAACGGTCCTCCATCAGCTCATGATTTGGTTGACCAGGTCGTCTGAGGCGGTCTGCGCTGACGATGAGGGTGGCCTCTCTGTGAAAGTGACGGGACCCTCAGTCATAATCTCTGGTGTCAGCGTAGGCATCTCTGGTTGCGTGTTAATCTGCGCTGAGGTGACAGTCGCAGATACAGGACGTTTCTTATGACGAACATCTGGAATGATAATCGGAATGTCATCATCATATAAAGATAATTCT